AGTTTCTTGCCCTAGCAACACCAAATATTTCACAACCTCTCAGCCTCTGTGTTTATTATTCATGAAAGGCAGACTCTCTGCTCCTCAGAGCCATGTAAACTCTGTTCTAAAACCTAAACCAGAAGCACTTTTATTTGGGGAATTAAAATGTTAGCTGTTTGTGAGCTGATGACTAACAGCATGACTTCATGTCAGATGGAGAGCAGTGAGAAGATGGCGGCTGTGGGTGTTCTGCAGGCTGCAGCACAGAGGGAGAGGTGATATTTTCAGACTGCGCTGCCGCTTTGAACATGAAGGAAAAGATGCAATAGTAGGAATGTCAGATAAAAACACCAGTGTTGAAAACTCAGCGATATCAGAGTCCCTGAAATAAAACAACATGAAATGACTCAGAGCTGAAAATAACAATAAACCATCAGTGATGACTGAATTTTCTTTTGAACACTTAGAAAGGTTTAGAGGGAAATAAACCCTCAGAACAAATCATTCCTACCTGCTCAGTATTCAATAGCGACACCCTCTTGAAATAATGGCATAAGTCATTTTTTCAGGTTTTTCAGGAAACACAAAAAACTTAACAAAATATTGAATATATAACATTTATTAATGATTTCACTCAAAAAGGTCATTACAACAGATGACTGTTGACATACTTATAACAGTGTATGCCAATTATGTAACACAAGAGCAATAAATGACTTAGGCAAATTTTTGAACATGCCTTTGTGACTTAGGCAAAATAACCTTTAACTCTGTCAACAATAAAGCTCAACTAACAAAGCAACTAAGAATTATGCTGAGGAGGCATGCACATCTCCTCACTCCTCCCTCTAGCCCCACTTTTCTGGATTCTCTACTGATGCCTATTAATGTGGCAAATTGTCAAAGAAGGGATGACACTCCACTGGCATCACATGTTTCATTGACTGGAGGTCCTGGAACTTTCTCTCCTTAATTGGCAGAGCACACGGAAACATTCTTATCCATGATATTGGTTCATTTGGCATCGTAACCCTCTGTGGCAATGCTTCCCACGCAGAGTCCTCTGAGAAGGACAGCTTGAACTGGATCCTGCCTTCACTGCTGAACTGAAGAGCCCGCAACTCATGCACAGTTGGATCTGCAGCTCTTTTGCCTGGTCTGATGCTACTGAAGTAAGATCCACTCATTTTCAGAAACGCATCATGCTTGAGCACCTTCACATGGTAAGGTGATGGCTTGGTTCTTGCAGTCTGAAGTATGACGACGTAGTCTCTCGGGGTGAAGATATCTGCAACTATTTTGCGTTCAATGGTACTATGCATGCTATCACACTCCATTTGTGTGTGCCCTGCAACAAGGTATTTCTGTGTTATTAGTACCCCACATTTCCTTGCAAGCTCAGAGAATGCATTTGACACACACACATTGCGGTTCTGATAACCACAGCCATCACTCCACACGATGATCTCCTTGAGTTCTGGATGGTTTTGGATCACACCTTCAAAATGGCAGTATTGAAGGTGGGAAAATACCTCTTCAACAACAGTCTCGTCAGTTTCAGTAAATGAGGCCTGACTAGTGTCAGCATTGTCAAGTGCATCTCCTACCAAAAAGATGTAGCTACTTTGCTGACAAAAATGCTGACTAAAAGACTGAATTAAAACACTAAATAACTGCAATATTTAAAGCGTAGCCTAAATTGTAGTAATCCTCATCACTTACCAGTAGGGGATGAGCCCTGAATGATCGAAAGGCTGAGTAGCGTTTCGTTTTTTTTTGAAGCAATCACCATTTTGAAAAGCTTGTAAAATTGCCTAAATCACATTGTCTTTTGACTTAGGCAAAAATAATACGGCCTAAGTCACACTTTTGACATAGGCCATTATACAACAGGGGTAGAATTGCATGTTCCCCTCAACTGAGGATTCAGGCAATTTTACCAGAGGTGGCCAGCATCATGAGGGGGTGATTTAGGCAAAAAAAACATTTTTGTCAAAAAATGACTTAGGCCATTATTTTAGGAAGGTGACCAAGTGCATTAGACTGTTTTGCACAACAGAGGCGTAGCTAATCCACCATCCTAAATCTATGCAACAAGCATGTTGCAGTTTTACTTGAATGCTGGTGAAGTAAACCAGCTACCCTCAGAAAGTGTCTTGACACAGGGGAATTTTGCTATGTGCCTAACCAACAGTACTGAATATGAAGAACTAACAACTTTATTTATATAGCACTTTTCTCATAAAAGTTATCGAAACTTAGGTTAACATCAAATATTACCCTCAGATTCCTGCAGCCCCTCTTGTATGACTGTAGCTGATGGGGTAAACCTGGCTACCCTCAGATGAACCTCCTGTATGAAGCAATGAGCATGTCTCTCTTTTCTTTGTAAAGTCTCACTGTCTGCCGGTTTGTTATTTGGAGTGAAAATTTACAGGTTGTTGGTTCTCCTTTGCACAATTTGCCAAAACTGAGAATTAACACGTGTTAATGTGTTGTGTGGTGCTAATGTGCATTTACCATGTAAGCCTATTGATACACATGGGTTTGGTAGCCTTTTTTTTTTTTCCAGACACAGATCCAACTGAGATCAAAATGTCATCATGGAACAGGGTGTCTGGTCCCATACGCAAATGTTATATATGTACATATATTGAATTTCCGTGATATGAAATGGGAAAAAATTATATATGAAACCTATTGTAATTTTTATATATTGACATTTACTGTATGTCTAGCCCATACAAATGTATGTATATGTATGTATGTATGCTTATATAGTAGACATATGTTACATAAATATATATCCATCACAAAGCCTGTCAATATACAGTATGTTGATATTATATACAGTGGGTTCCAAAAGTCTGAGATTTTTATATGTATGTTGTTTTAATAAACTTGCATTTATAAATCAAATATATGACGTTAACATATATCATTGCAACATACTATACCATATACAAATTCATCCTAGATATTTTTAATATATGTACAACATACAATTTTTACCATGGGTATTTCATATATGTTACTTATATTTACTTCTATCTTCATATATCCAGAGGTATATACATACTGTATATACAGTATGTGATAATGATAAAGGTGTCATATATGGCAACATCACTCCTGATGTAGGGATGTATATGTCATATGTTACATTTCTATATGGGGATGTCATGATACATCCAGGGCCCACATTCCCTGGACATGCCTGGTGTATTGGTTAATGGATAGGCCACAGCTTAGATCAAATGGGTCTGGATGTAAGGAATCAGGATGATTCAATGACAGTAGAAATGTATCAATAAAAAATCATGATAAATATGATAACCTCTGACATTACAATTGTTTATATTGTCCTATTTACTATATCAGGGCTACATAAATCTGTATCCAGGAAATGTCAATCAACCCTGTATCAAAGTACCCAGCCATGGACAGAACTCACTGATTTATAAATGAATGTACAGAAATAGTGCTAATGTGTCTGAAGTAGACAAGCTAGCAGCTTGGTCAGCAGAGAGAAAAGTTAGTCTCATGCCCTGTTTTTCCTCTACGAACACTCAGAAGAGCCATCTGCCTCTATAAATAGACTAAAAGGAATGTCAATGTGAAAGAGAAGGACAAAAAGAGGGAAGATGGGGGAAGGGATAGATCATAGACAGAGAAAGAGATAAGCAGAAGAAGGGAAGAGATTAAAGTTTAAAAGAGACAGAGTATGTGAGGGGATAAACAAGATGAGAAGACAAGATTAGAGAGAAGTGTGAGGATTTGACTGGAACTCTCACACATCTACTCTCTCTCTTAAGAATACTCCATATTCATGACTGACTGTCAAAAAGAGGCTGATTGTGTTGGAACATGGGCTTTTGCCAGCACTGCTGCTCTTTGGTTACCACTGATTTCCTGCTTGTCATCAGTCTTATATTCATGATGAAACACTGGGAGATGTGGAACTACTTCAAACTTGCACTGATTTATTTTCCTACTGAAAGAAGTCAATTGTTCTGCTCGGCAAGCTGACGAGCTGGACGTGCAGCAGCTGCCTGGTAAAATAAGTTACATCACTTTCAAACTAGTCATGGAGGCATTTCACTGGTAGAACCCGTCCTGAGCCTGAAGGTCCACTGACACACTGGCTCTTAGGGTTTCCAGCAGTTGCCAACCGCTTCCCAGGATTGTTCTCTTTTTTCTGTCCGTGAAAATGAATAGCCTATTATTTCCCGGTTTTTGGGAAGATGCACTTGTAATTTAGAATATCCTAGTTTCTAATGAAACCTCATTTGTTTCCTTCTACTGCTTTTTTACAGTATTTTCTTCCTGGTTATGTCCAATCCTGTGCCCGTAAATGTAGGTACAGTGATGATGTCTATGCTTTCATTTGATTGGTAGCAGAAATACAAAAGTTTACCTTATTACCTAGCAACTGCCACATACACTTTTGACACCTTGGTTGTTTTCAACTAGGAGTCCATGGTAACGTTAATAAAGACAACAACTCCCATGATCCCTCGTTATTTCGTGATGTCAGACCCTCTAGAGGCAGAGGTTACAGACGTCAGGGGACTGTCTTGGGTCCTGGTGAGAAGATCAAATATGAACAAGACAGTCCGGTGTCAGTAACAGATGACTGTGTTTGAGCTTGATCAGCTGCTGACTCTATGCAGCAGTGTATAATACAGTGAGACAGCAGTTTACAACTCCAGTGAGTTTATCATTGTGACATTCATTTTACGTCCCATTGACAGTTACAACAGTACAAACAGTGAAATAATGATGTTCATGTTCCAGTGATGTACCATGGATGTTCACATGTGGACTCGTATGTATTTGACTGGCAGTGGAGTGTCTTTCTGTACAGCGTCATATTTCATTGTGGCTAAAGTTGTGCAAGGTTCAACGTTTCTGCCACGTGACCCTGCATCTTTAGACCAGAGAGGCCTGTGGACTCTGGAGAGTAAAATGCAGCAGATCAGCCTGATGTGAACTGTGTGTAACTGTGTGTGTTGCAGGATAATGGCGAGGACTCCCATCGTATCTCTCCCAGTCCTGTGGTCCATGTCAGGGGCCTGTGTGAGGCTGTGGTGGAAGCAGACCTGATAGATGCCCTGGAGAAGTTTGGACCCATATGGTGAGACAACAACCACAGGATGCGTGGTGTGTGTGTGTGTGTGTGTGTGTGTGTGTGTGAGAGAGAGAGAGAGAGAGAGAGAGTTTGAGTGGGAGAAACAGAGGAGCTGAGTCTTGTATCTGTCCATCTAATCTCTAAACAGCTTATCCTGTCTCTGAGTTGTGGGGGTCTGGAACTTACAGCAGGGATTTGATGTAAGGTGTTGTTCACTCTGTGGTGACAGGTCAGTGGTCAGTCACAGAGCCGACACATCTGGACAACAAAGGGAGAATATTTTCAGGGTTGTAAGTTCCCCCGTACCTGGGTTATAGCTGAGCCACTGCTCAGTTATCACCTAGAGTCATGTCAGGGCAAAGACAGAGCCACGCCTCCCTCGTTCATTCAGCAGGCCCCCGTGATCCAGCCTACTGATACAGAGGTAAGATCACAGACAGAGTCTCTGTGAACTTTCCGCAGAAAGATTCCAGCAGGGCTCTGAGCATTTCACTTCCATATGAAAGTGAAAAAATATTCATGTGTGTGTGAGTGAATTGTGATTCTTAGATTGACAGAAAACACCTGACAAATTAGTTAATCTTTTAACTTTAATTAAAGTTATTTTGGGGGCATTTTTGTTTTTACTTGAGAGCGACAGTGTAAATAGACAGGAAACACGGGGAGAGAGAGAATGGGGGAGGCCGGCAGGGAGTCAAACCTGCTGCTCAGGGCTTGAGTTATCAAGTCTTTTATCTCCCTTCCCTCCTGTCCAGGGCTTACCCCAGCCTCACCCAAGGTCAGCTGGGATTGGCTCCAGCCCCCTTATCGATCACTCAAATCGTTGCTGATCAGCATTAATTTAATCAATAATTTGACTTGATGTCTCTGTAAGCCATTGTCTGTACTCAAAGATTGTTTGTGAGGAAAAACATGGTAGCATTTTCTTTTTCCTCACTTAGTATGATCAGGAGTGTTTTTGTTGCAGCATGTTTACTCAGGAGAAATAATCAGGGCCTGTATTCACAAAGCATCTAAAGCCATCTATTCACCAATCAATGAATGTCTCTGTAGACCCACACCATAGAACAATTTCATACCAGTTCCTTTAGATTCTCAACAGCTACAGAGGAATAAAGCAGCTTCATGGTCAGTATACCCGTCGTGATGATGTTATCGGTGCCAGAGATGGAACGCATGTAAAAATGATTGCACCATCACAAGACGAGGAGGTGTTTGTAAACAGGAAAACAAAATCACACCATCAACACACAGGCTGTGTTGATGCTGCCTGTACAGCTGTAGACATTGTTGTACAGTGTTGCACAGATCTACGCAAGAGTCATGCATCTTAATGTGGAGTGACCTGATCAGCTGTTTGAAAGGATCATGTTCCAGCTGGATGTCACCTGGTGGGGGACAGGGGGAAATCTTCTCACACCTCAACCCACAGCCGGGACCACAGCTACATTACAACAGGTGTAGCTACAACAGACTGTGGCTAATAGGCTGCCAGTTAGCTGAACTGAATATTGAAGTTGAAGTTGAAGTTTTTAGAGTAAAATGAATTCTCTCAGGTCGACACAAACCTGATTATACTGATGCATTTGGGAGAACGCACTGCTTTAGTAACAGAATCCAATCTGTTATTATTTCATTTGTATTCGTTTATTTCTCTGTGTTTTTTTATTATTAATGCGGGATGTTGCGCTTGGGTTTTCACTGGCACAGACGGTCTCTCATCGACCAATCACTGTGGTTCCTGCAAGGGAGCTTGTCCATGAAAATTGACATAACATATGCCATAGCAAGCCATAGAAGTGGAGTCGCACTCTTAGCTCAGGAGTTTTAGCTTTACCTTAGTAAAAGTTGGTCTCAGCAGCTTTGTGAAGAAATTTTTAGTTAGAAACTTTTATCATGACTTATGAGAATTATCTTAGTGGTAATGTAAAATGCTATGTGACTACGGGCCCAGGTGAGTAGGTGACCTCATACTACCTGCAAATAATACACAATAAATACCTCATCAATAAAATCAGTTAGAATCAAACATCAAAGACTGCACAATAAAAAAAAAATCACAATTTATAACTTGGATGAAAGTTTCCCATGAGCACCCTACTCGTCACTCATTCACCACCCTCATCAATACGTTTCATGCCTCCACTTCAGCAACAGTTTTGGGTGGTCCGTCCGTCCCATTCTCGTGGACATGATATCTCAGTAACACCTTGACAGAAATTCTTTAAATTTGGTTCAAACATTCACTTGGACTCAAGAATGAACTGACATTGGTGGCTAAAGGTCAAAGGTTAACGTCACAGTGACCTCATAAAACATGATTTTGTCCTTGTGAACACAATCAGAATCAGAATCAGAATCAGAATGCTTTATTGATCTCCAGGGGGAAATTAGGTATCTAGAGAACTCAAGGGAATCCCTTCAAATTTTGCACAAATTTTCTTCACTTGGACTCAAGGACAAACTGATTAGACTTTGGTGGTGAAAGGTCAAAGGTCAAGGTCAGTGTGACCTCAGAAAACACTTTTTAGCCATTATATATGACTTCATAGCATTATGACAAAATTTCACACGAATGGTTGATATTTTCTCTGACTCTGGATAAACAGGGATGTGACCTGAAATTAGTCTGAGTGGAGGAGGCAGACGACCACCAGGAGGTGATCCCAGTCTATTTGTGTTTGTTTTGTTTTGTTTCTCAATATTCTGTTTATACTAACTTTTTTAAACATCTAATAACATGAACATCTGAACAGGAGTGAACATTTACAGGAACACCTCAGGTAAAAAGTCACCTCCATGTAATGAACTACAGTGAGCTTCAGTAGCTTTAGTGTAAAGATAGTTACAGATGTTGAATAATTGAAGGAAACATTTTGTGATGCTGCAGTTTCCACTCTAAATGACTCCTGCTCCATTATTAACACACCCTGCATGATGCAGTATTCATTAAACCTCTCATTCACCTGGACGGAGCAGAAAGGAAAAGCACACTGTGAAACACACAAACACACACACATACACACACACACACAAAAAGAGTGGAGGAGCTGCTGGCAGAGAAGCTGATGTGCCTAGAGAAAAGCCATTAGGTGGAAAAAAATTAGACTTAGCAGCATGTGTGTGTGTACTGTCTTAATGCGCGTATGTGTGTGTGTGTGTGTGTTCTCAGTTATGTGATGATGATGCCATTCAAGCGTCAGGCCCTGGTGGAGTTCTCTGCAGTGGAGAGCGCTGACCGCTGTGTGTCCTGTGGAGCCAAGGAGCCTGTTTACATCGCAGGTTTGATTCTCAGACTTTTCATGGTGAAGACTTCCTGTTGAGACTGATTAGCTACACATGCTTGTATGTAGCATAGTGTGTGTGTTCATATGTGTTTCATCCGTGTGTTCATCAGGCCAGCAGGCGTACTTTAATTACTCCACCTCCAAGAGAATTACTAGGCCGACCAACGCTGACAACCCCAACAGTGGCAACAAGGTCCTGCTGCTGTCCATACAGAACCCCCTGTACCCTATAACCACGGTAAACATGCACACATTTGCATTTATGTGAACTTATTTCTATCATATTGTTAGTGGATATATAATATTAGGTCATATATGTCAAAGTTTTGGTGATACAGCTGATTATCAGCACAATCTCAATATCAAAATTGCCTTTTCATCTCTTACTCCAACCAAGATGGCAGTAAAACCTGGGTGTCATGACCAGCTCTCCTTCTCTGACCATGTTGCATCTGTCTCCCCGTCATGTCTCTTTGCTCTATACAACATCAGAAACATCAGGTCTTACCTGACTCAGTACTCCACCCAGCTCTTAGTCCAGGCCATGGTTGTCTCTCACCTCGGCTACTACACTGCTCTTCTTACGGGCCTCCTGTCACACCCAGTGAATCCCTTACAGATGGTCCAAAATGCAGCAGCCTGTCTGGTCTTTAATCATCCTAAAAGCCAAACCCATGACCGCCTGAATCACATTCAGTCTCTAATGCTGCCTTCAGAGAGACTTCTGGGTCTGCTCCATCTACTTGAACTTAATCAATCAGCCTTGTGCTCCTTCTCAGCCACTGTGTTCCTCTAATGAATGTGGTCTCTCATCACCATCTTGCACACAATACAGTCTCAGTAAAGACTGTTCTGGTCTGTTCTGGTCTGGTTTGGTCTACCACAATCTATCAGAGCAGGAGCATCCCTCTCTATCTTCAAGAATCTGTTGAAGACTCATCTCTTCAGAGAGCATGTGTCTAACGAGCTCTTACTGTGAACTTTCAGTTCACTTCTTTACTTGATCTCCTTCACTTATTAAATAGATGCAGCGCTTCTTACACCAAGATCTCCTACTGCATTGAAGCTTTACTCATGTCCCTCACTTGTAATCACTTGTAAGTTGCTTAAGTCGCTATACACTTATAAATATACACTCACCGGCCACTTATTATGTACACCTGTTCAACTGCTCGTTAATGCAAATATGTAATAGGCCAATCACATGGCAGCAGCTCATTGCATTTAGGCATGTAGACATGGTAATGATGATCTGCTGAAGTTCAAACCGAGCGTCAGAATGGGAAAGAAATGTGATTTAAGTGACTTTGAACGTAGCATGGTTGTTGGTGTCAAATGGGCTGGTCTGAGGATTTCAGAAACTGCTGATCTACTGGGATTTTCACGCACAACCATCTCTAGGGTTTACAGAGAATAGTCTGAAAAAGAGGACATATCCAGTGAGCGGCAGTTCTCTGGGTGAAAATGCCTTGTTGATGGCAGAGGTCAGAAGTGAATGGCCAGACTCGTTCGAGCTGATAGAAAGGCAACAGTAACTCAAATAACCACTCGTTACAACCGAGGTATGCAGAAGAGCATCTCTGAACGCACAACACGTGGAACCTTGAAGCGGATGGGCGAAAGCAGCAGAAGACCACAACGGGAGCCAATCCTGTCGGCTGAGAACAGGAAACTGAGGCTACAATTCGCACGGGCTCACCAATATTGGACAACAGAAGATTGGCAAAATGTTGCCTGGTCTGATGAGTCTCGATTTCTGCTGCAACATTCGGATGGCAGGGTCAGAATCTAGCGAAAATAACATGACAGCATGGATCCATCCTGCCTTGTATCAATGGTTCAGGCTGGTGGTGGTGGTTTATTGGTGCAGGGGATATTTTCTCGGCACACTTTGGGCCCCTTAGTAACAACTGAACATCGTTTAAACGCCACAGCCTACCTGAGTATTGTTGCTGACCATGTCCATCCCTTTATGATCACAGTGTACCCATCTTCTGATGGCTACTTCCAGCAGGATAACGCGCCATGTCACAAAGCTCAAATCATCTCATACTGGTTTCTTGAACATGACAATGAGTTCACTGTACTCAAATGGCCTCCACAGTCACCAGATCTCAATCCGATAGAGCACCTTTGGGATGTGGTAGGACGGGAGATTTGCATCATGGATGTGCAGCCGACAAATCTGCAGCAGCTGTGCGATGCTATCATGTCAATATGGACCAAAACGTCTGAGGAATGTTTCCAGCACCTTGTTGAATCTATGCCATGAGGAATTAAGGCAGTTCCGAAGGCAAAAGGGGCTAGCTAGCAAGGTGTACCTAATAAAGTGGCCGGTGAGTGTATATATAAATAATTTTTATTGTAATGGATTGATCTTGAACTAGTTTCAAGTCCCTCTCAGTTGATTTTCAATGGCTGCCCAGAATGTGTGAAAACGCATTGAAAAGTGTAAAAAACTGAAACGTGCTTTATGATCCTTTCAGGCAGTTTCTGATCCTACCTACAAACATTTCATTTTCAGTGTGTAGTATGTAATATTAAATGCATCTGCCTGCCTGACAGCCTCTCTCTCTAAACTGGATTTATTAAGCTTCTATTAAAAGCAGTAACTGTGTGTCTAGACTCCTCTGAGGTTTTTCCTCATCTCATTCTCTTCCATCATGAACTCTGCCTCTGTAAACATCTGTGTCCAGATCACTGCAGAGGAAATGTTGCAAATGTGAAATATCAATTATATCATCAATGTGGCCTCAGTGAATGTTTATATCTAACATAGTGGTTTTGTGAGGACATTGGACCAATGCAGTAGACTCAGCTGACAAGTTCTCACATTTTCTTAAAAGTAAACCCATCAGCCAGTCATGAATATATTAAACAGGTACACAGACAATAATAATTTGAATAAGATGGAAACTTGAACGGCTGATTTCTCACCATGATTTTCAACCATCAACCTGACATAAATCATACAACAACGTTTGTCCATGATTCTGCAATCCACGTTTTCAAGCAAATAGTTTAATAGCATCTACATTTTGTCTGTTGTGGCAGCCTTATGGGTTCACTTTAATTAACTTTCATTAGCAAGCTACACTACAGTAGCCTTTTGATTAGATGAGCAAAGATTCATTGATGTCATCTTTAGGTTCACAAATTTTAATTCATCATCTTGTGATATCAAGAATTAAGGCAAATTCAAGCACTCACTGCTTTATTCAGTTGATTTTTCACTATGAGCTTCATGAGTTTTTAACTTATAACAATAGGAATCAGGAACACTTGCTGTCAAATTTGAGGGAGACTGGACTGTACAAAAATGTTTTAGGAAATCCAAAATGATGCAAATATAATTTGGCAGAACTTCCTGACTGACACAATGATTGACACAATGCTTTTTTATCAGTCTATCAGAAAGTATTATATATATATATATTAAAATACGAGGTTACTTATTAAAGGATAATCATCTTCTCCGGAGGTAAAGGTTTTTTTGGATTGAAATTTTCAACCTTTGTTGAGGTATGGCTGATATGAATGTTGAGTCGAATGTCTGAGGAACATTTTGGCAGGACCTTAGCAGTGGGGCCAACCCTACGATCTGGAATGTCCCTGACTGACTGACTGACTAACTGATCATATTTCCACCACTGGTCAGCAAAGTGCTTCACTGAGTTGGAGCTGCTGGTGCAAACAGGTTCTATTAGGGGGGTGTTTACAGCTGCAGTGTTGACAACTCAGCTCATTGTCTCTGGGTATAAACCTGGTTCAGGTCTGGACTGTGTATGGATGCAGAGGCTTAGAGCTACACCTCTTGTTACAGGCAGTCTTCTGAGCTGCTCTGGTTTCCCGGCTGTTCGGGAACTGCAGGGAAGAGGGGGAGCACTTCTAATACACTGAGCCTTGCCGCCATTACAGAAAATAAACTAATTTCATAACATGTTTCATTATTACTAAAGAAACTAGCAGATGTGAATAGTATGTTAAAAACAGAAACACCAACAACCGGAAATGAGACAATACTCTTACTGCAGCAAATCAATAACAAAATACACAGTTCAGTCTTCTGTGTGTGTCTTTCTGTGTTTGATGAGTTTGTTAGACGACGTCACAGTTACGTACATCAGGATTTTAGCAGCAGAGCAGCAGCTTGGGAGTTAACATGTAGTCTTAATGGGCTGCGATTCTTGAAACTCTCTTGAGTTGTGTTTGCATTGTTTGTGACAGACTGAATCATTAATTTATTGAATGCCAAACAAACAGCTGTCACCAAAAAGAGTTTTGAGTCTTGGAAAAGAATTCACCAAATCCCCCAAAAAGTCCTGAAAAAAAAGTCCTTTATAGTATTTATGAGATGTTCAGTGGCCCGCGGCCTGTGTGTCATGCATATTAAACACACTGCAGAATTAGAAACTTTCAGACTGTCAGTGTTGAATGTTGAATCTGTCTTTTTTTTCCATGTTGGTCCAGGATGTTCTGTACACGGTGTGTAATCCCATCGGTAGCGTGCTCAGGATCGTCATCTTTAAACGAAATGGAATCCAGGCCATGGTGGAGTATCCTTACTGAGTGTGTGTCTTAAGTTCTGTGTGGATCTATGTGTTGGAGTGTGTAGGTGACCTCTCCTTAACACCAATCCTCCAGATTTGAGTCGGTTCAGTGTGCCCAGAAGGCCAAAGCTGCACTTAACGGAGCTGACATCTATGCCGGTTGCTGTACACTCAAGATTGAATATGCTAGGGTAAGACATGAAGAAGACATCAGCTGTCACAAGCCTGGTGTCAGTCTGTGATGTTGATATTATCACTGATGTGCTGTGATTAAAAGGTTTTCTCCAGAAAGTCACATAAATAAATTAAAATCTAGGTTCTTACTGCTGTTGTCATAGGAACGCCAGTTATCCCACAAGAAAGATGGTGTTACTTTGACAATGCAGGTGAGGGGTGTGTCCAATAAGGGGTGACACCATATATGGGCACAGGAGATGTGCATCTAAAGGGCAGTACTGAAGCACTCATTATTGGACACATCCCTCACCTCCCTGCCAGTCTCAGAATGACCTGAAGTCACATGACCATATATCCAACCCAACCTCATTGGCTGATATGTGCGTGTATGTATATGACTGGTTATCTTATTTAAATATTCCTTGGCCCTGATGAAGGCCACAAGCCGAAATTGAGAAACTGAAGGTGAGATATACATCTGTCTTACATTTCACTGGATCCTGAACAATTCTTTCATCTTTGCGTCAACAGCCAACTCGTCTGAACGTGATTAAGAACGATAACGAGAGCTGGGACTACACTAAACCATACTTAGTCAGACGAGGTAAGACACACAGTCTCGATCTTTCTCTCTTTCTCTTTTATCTCTACTTCATACTTCCACTGAAGTCATACTATGAGCAATGGACCGTGTGGGGTGATCCTCCTTTTTTACAATGCAGGAGACCCTGTGATGTGGAAGGTAGGACTGTTTTCAGTCTGAATTCTCTTTAGCAGCACATTTCCCTCCACTGCCGCCTTCCTCGATTCACATTACACCAATAGTCTCCGACTGTGGATTAAGCCAGTAGTCATAAACAGTTTGGACCGTAGACCTCCATCACACCAAGACTCCTCTGCCTCCCGTCTCTCCATCTCCAATCTAAACACTCTCACACCAGCCAATCACCGGCCTCTCACAAGCCTGCACCTCCGCTTACCACGGGGAGAGAGAGAGAAAAACATTGAGGGAGAGAGAGAGAACAGAGAAAGAGGGATGGACGTCAGGCTGACCATGCACAGCAGCTTTCTTCCATCTTCACCTTCTGCAACCCAGCAAAAAGAGAGAGAAAGAGAGGGAGAAACAAAGATGGATCTCACTCCTGCTGACCGCCATGCAGCTGCTGCTTCAACATGCCCAGGAGGCCTCAGCCCCACCTCTGTCTGCAGGACTCCTTCTATCTATCTACTCCACCCCTCCTCTGTCTGGAGAAGTAGTGTTGCATGGTCTGATGTCTGGTCCACACAGTGTGATAAGCTCCTCAAGACCTCCAGATTCCAGATTTTACTCTCAGTGCTTCTTTATTGACGACCATGCAGGTCTTCCAGCAAACAGATGAAGATTTACTGTAGGAGCGAAACCATTTTTTCACAGCAAAATCTGATTAACACAACTTCCTGGTTAACAGCAGTCAACAGTGTGGACCAGACATACGTATATGTTGGTAATCAGAAGTCTACAGTATAGAAGTCTGGCCTAATCTCTGCTCTCTGTCACTTTACTCCATCTAAATTAGGGCTGTCACGATATCAACGTTTCATCATCACAATAATGGTAACATCTCCATAGAATGAATAAATACCATAATAATGTTAAGAATTATCATTAAAACATTATTGAAGATTAACAATTAACAGTAACAATCATTTTATCATTTCAGTCCAAATTCAAAAGGACGTTGTGTTGAAAAACTATTTATACTATAAAGATACAGATACAGCAGTGTGTGTGTGTGTGTGTGTGTGTGTGTGTGTGTGTGTGTGTGTGTGTGTGTGTGTGTGTGTGTGTGTGTGGGGTCGGGGTGGGGGGTAAGATGCTCAAACCTGCACTCGTGATTATTTATCAAAAACCTCATGTGTGGGGCGCCCCAGTGGTTTATGCTCAGTCCTTACCACAGTGGCTGGGGTTCAGATCCGACTCAGGCCCTTTGCTGCATGTCATAATCTCTCCTGCCTAACTTTCCTGTCTCTCTCTCACTGTCCCTGTCATAATGGTGCCAAAAATGGTAAATTTCTATATGAGCAGTTTCTCCTTCAGTTCATTAAATCCCTGCTGCATCTGAACAAACGCACGGCTGTTCACTGTGTTAACTTGCATTAGTTCGCCTGAAAATGACACCAGGTTGTGATATAACCACACATAAGATTAGATAGTTATAACTGGATTTTCTGCTTTTTTAAGATCCTATGATGAGCCCTGGTAACCAGCTGTCTCCTTAAAAACACACCAGACTCCAACTGACAAAAACAAAAATTCTATCTTGCAGAAAAAGGAATTACTGGCCTGCTGCCTCCTTCACTTGTTACAGTCTTTCTACACCAGAATTAGTGCTTATAAATGGATTTTTGAAATGCCGCTGAAAACAGGCGTGCGACTCCTTTCACGCTGCCAGATGAGTTTGCCTTTCTGTTCAGGCAGAGAGGACACCGACAACTGCAGGGAGCAATGTCATCATTTGCAGTTACATAGCAGAGGCACAGGGGACTGATAAAGCTGATGTGTTGTGTCTCGTCCCCCGGGTGGTGCTGCTGTAAGTGTTGCAGCCTCTGTGTGAGACGCTTCAGAGAGTCATTGTACGTTTTTAAAACTTATCTCAGGGCTCTGCTCATTCTTTGCGGCCTTGAGGGCAGCCGACTCTCAGGGGAAGGTGTAGCCGTGGTGTTTCTGCTTGAACAGCATCGTGCTGGGCAGGTGACAGGTCTGTCTACGGTGTTAGTGCTCTGAAAGACGTTACAGCAGGAAAAGACGAAGATTAACGTGTTCGCCTGGGTGTTGTGTGTACATCACTGCCATTTGGAGCTGGAGCCGACAAATACCTGTTTTTCATTTCACCTGGGACAGAATGCTGATTGCACCCTTTCACATTACTGACAGGAAGTTTTTTGTCTCATGTAAAAGGGGCTTAAGTTTAGTTTGTGAGGTGGAATTACTGTTTTTGTCAATGGAGTCTGGTGGCTTTCAACAGGATCTTACTCTCTAACGAAAAGGTCTAATTCTGTATGAATCATTGTATCAATCTAGTTTGACATGACTTGACTGACAAGTGTCTGACAACATTATGGAAGGATTCCTACAGAGGCTGACCTTTTTGTTAAAGAGTAAGGTCTTTTTCGTTTAACCAGGTCGAAGCCACCTCGATCGGTGTATTTGTGTTATTGTGTCGTACTTTTACTCATGTGAAGGATCTGAATACTCCACCACCACTGAAAGTCACGCAATAACAGAAACAAACGAACCAATCGAGGCAACAGTAGGTCAGCAACTCCTGTGTGCCGTGAGATAAAACGACGATGTTTGATGTTTTCGTCAATGGAGTCTGGTTCTTTTTTTGAGAGAGAGAGTTTCAGTCACCAGGGCTCACCATAGGCTCATAATGAAGTGGAATATCTTGTTACAACTGATTAATCCTATGTGTGTAGAGGTCTGTGTGGTTATATCACAGCCTGGTGTCATTTTCATCCAATCTAATGAAAGTAAACACAGTGAACAGCACACAGTGTGTTCGTTCGAGTGCTGCGCAGAGAAACGGTTCATTTATTATAAAGCAGCTGTGAACAGCAGATACTGTAAGAGTCGCCCACATTCATTCCATTCATTCACAGATCAAAGCAGACTGACTCACTTTCCTGCTTTAACCACATTTTACCTTTATACTCTGAAGGCTGATCGTCAAGACTCACACGTGCAGTGTTAGGATGCACATATATGCACACACATGCACAACTGTGTCACAATCACACATGCACGTGCATGGCTGAGTTCTATTAATCACACACGCACTGATTGAATTACTTAACTCTGTCCTCTTCATAGAATCCAAACTAATCCAACAACATTGAAACTTTTGCCCGTTTCACGATGTTATTTATGTGACCGACATGTTGTTGGCAATGACTAACTTGTTGTCCTAAGTAATGAAAGCCGGGGGCGCCCCATTGGCTGGTAGAGCACATACCATTTAGGCTCAGTCCTTACCACAGCGACCTGGGTTCAACTCCAACCCAAGACCCTGTGCTGCATGCTAACTTTGGCTGAAAAATGGCCAAAATAATAATAATTTTAAAAAAAGTAGTAGTGATACCCAGAATGCTCAGGGCCACTGTGTGTGTGACTGAGTAAGGGCTGATTTTTGAGAAAAATAAAACACAAATGCAAGCAAGTTTGAAAAGCCAGGTCTATTTTCTGCACTGTTTGACTTCATACTTTTAGAAATACTGTGTTAATGGTGAAATCCAGTATATGGTGACAGCCCTGATCTAGTCCCCAGACTACAGTAGCTGTATCTTCAGACTCGTGCATGGATGTGTCGTTCACACACTGTAGCTCATAGAAAATGCTGATTGGTATATTTCTGAGAGGATTGGAATGAGTCAGTGACTTGTTAAAAACAAGGCCAAACAAAGGTCCTTCTGTAACATGAGCAGTGACAGTCTATGTTATCTATGCACGGCCCTGTGTACAGTGAACAACCACAGATGCTGCATTCTCTGTACTGTATGTGGTGTGTAGCTGAGGATTCTCCCTGGAAATTCTTAAACTGTGCCGAGATCAATCCTGGGGTCAGTTCATTCTCGATTCAATCAATTCAGGAAATGAGATTAACAACAGACAACATGAACAAAAAGATCTGTGACATCTAACGCTTCTTTAAAAACCGGTGTTTAATCATAAATGCGCCACTTTTTTTTTCACATTTTTGAACCACTAACGCTGAGGCCGAGGATGAAGATGATGATGATGCTCAGTCTCTTTTAAACTAGCACTGTTCCAGAGGAAGATATCTACCACCTTCACGCCCAATGTTTCCACTGTTCACAATTAATGTCAGTAATTAATGAGCAATCTCATTTATTTAATAGTATAAATCTTTTACATTCTCATCCCCTCAGAACAAACTTTACATATTCAGCTGGAGTGACGTTGTGGGGTGCGTGATGAACAGTGGAGTCACTGCTGCAGCCTCAGACTGGTTTGATTCAAAACGATTCATGAAATGATTGATTAACGTTGTGAACTGATCCCAACTCTGTTATTGATGAAATATCCATTAAATAAATGCATATCTACAATGTTATATGTTGTCACTGGAGGCACATTGCAAAGACACAGACAGGGACAAGTCATGGCTGAACATTGTCTAAGAATAGAGATGAGATTGAGTCTTCACACACGTCTGTTAAAAAGATGAAGAGCTTCTGCCTCTAGGGGTCTCTCAATCAAAACAATAACAAAAGACAGAGTTTGCTGATGTTGTGAAGTAGCATAGCATCATGGGAGTTGTTGTCTTCAACACCATTACCGTAAGCTCCTCCCGGTTTGGATTCCTTCAGTGTCAGTGGTTCAGGAGCTTTCTACCATCAGTTTGATTGTTTCTCTGATAACTTATGAAGCAGACGTTCAGCAGGTTTTTACCAGCAGCTGAATTATCCACAGAGGTGTCCTCCTCTCCACAACAAACACACCAGGGGATTAGAACCAGGAGAAACACCCAGAAAGCAGTTTACCATTAAAATTCAGAGATTCACCGACTCTGTCTGGCGGACACAGGACGTCAGGGAAGAGCT